ATTTCCCAGATCTCCCAGGAGCAAGGGGCGGGGGGCAGGGCCACAGCCCACCTTCCTAGGATCTGGCTCCGATCGTGGTTAAATCAAAAGGGGCAAAAACAACATCCTTGGCTAAGGAACACGGAGCCTCTTTTTTTTCTATAAATGAAGAATAAACGCAGACAGATGATTAAAAACTGCTTGCACAATCAACTTGCTAGCATCGTGGCCTGGAAACAACGTATTGCCATGCTTACGCACATATAGAAAATGCCAGCCAAAAGTCCAGATCAGGCGTCCTCAAACTACAGCCCAAGGGCCACATGCGGACCACTGAAGACATTATCTGGCCCGCCAGGTGTTTTTGCCGCCCTGCCTGTCCTGCTTAGCAGCCGACTGGTCCCGGGCCCGCAGTGCGCATGCGTGGAATGGGCGCCGCTCTCTCCAGCGGCCTCCAGTGGTCTGAGGGACAGTGAGCTGGCCCCGTTTACAAAGTTTGAGGACCCCTGGTCCAGATGTTTGCGGAACATGCACGTTGCAATATGGATCTAGAGGGAAATAATGCGTATTATTACCGGCCTTTTTCCTATTTACCTCTGAGCATTACACGACAGTCGAAGACACAGGGATATAGAGCAAGCAGGATTAGAAATAGTTGGAAGATGCTCTAGGCCCAGAACAATTCAATATGGAATATCCACCAAAAAAAAAATAATAATAATAAAAAGAAACCAACAAGGAAACAAGCAAGCAACTCTAAGCAGGACAGAAAAACTTTCTCGACCATACGCAACACGTTCCACTTCTAGTTTTATTTTAGGTATTTCATAGCTTTGTTTAGAAGCCCTGGCACAAACAAGTGCATTTCTTTTTTTCCTTTCTTAGGAGTAACACTTGTCAACACATAGGCACAGTCTTAACGTTCTATTTGCTGTGAAAGTGAACGACGCTCGGCTGCCCTTTGCTCCCAGGCAGTATGGCTAGAGCGAGGCTACAGCATTTTTTACAGGGCCCCAAGAAAATCACCACCTTTCTCTGGGTAGGAATGGAAATTTTCACATGAAATTTTGTGGTTCTATCACATTCCGATACTGTTCTTATTAATATCAACATTTCTACCCTATTTCATTATTTGGGGTCATATATATATATATATATATATATATATATTTTTTTTTTTTTTTGCTGGTTCATGATGCTGTTTTAATGTCTGATTTTGCAATTTTGCACATATATACACATACACACATATATTAAAATAGTCTTTACTTTCAATAATGTATAAAACCTTTGTAATAATTAGTAGTTTCCTAAAATATAATGCACGAGGGGTAAGTAGCCATGCAGTAAGAGCATTGTGTCCACGTGGTACCTAGAGCTTAGGAAAGACAGGACCTCAGGTGAGACCCTGAAGTTTGTTGCCAACTCCTACCTTTCATCCCACCTTGGAGTTTCTAACCACGCTCATATTTCACACACTCAGATACTCTTCAGACTCCGCACAAACTCCTTAGCGTAGTTCTCAAGACCATTCACAATGCAACCCGGGACCACTTTCAAGCCTATTTTGTGCCAGGTCCTTATGTAGTGTGTGATTCCTCCATCCATCCACCCATCTACACACCTATCTATCCATCCATCCATCCTCCCATCCATCTACACACCTACCTATCCATCTATCCATCCACCTATCCACCCATCCACCTACACACCTACCTATCCATCCATCCATCCATCCACCCATCCACCTACACACCTTTGTATCCATCCATCCATCCATCCACTTATCCACCCATCCACCTACACACCTACCTATCCATCCATCCATCCATCCACCTATCCACCTACCTATCCATCCATCCATCCATCCATCCATCCATCCATCCATCCACCCACCCACCCACCCACCCACCTACCTATCCATCCATCCATCCACCTGTCCACCCATCCACCTACATACCTACCTATCTGTCCATCCATCCACCTACACACCTACCTATCTGTCCATCCATCCACCTACACACCTACCTATCCATCCATCCATCCACCTATCCACCCATCCACCTACACACCTACCTATTCATCCATCCATCTACCTATCCACCCATCCACCTACACACCTACCTATCCATCCATCCATCCATCCACACACTTACCTATCCATCCATTTATCCACCCATCCACCTACACACCTACTTATCCATCCATCCATCCATCCACCCACCCATCTACTCACCCACCTACACACCTACCTATCCATCCACCCATCCACCCACACACCCACCTTCCCACCTACACACCTACCCATCCATCCATCCACCCACCCACCCACCCATCCACCCATCCATCCATTCAGGCAACCACTTAAAAACTTTGAGCACCTGCAACTTTCAGGCAAAGAACCAAGTGCCGGGGGTACCGTGTTTCCCCGAAAATAAGACAGGGTCTTATATTTTTCCTCAAGAAGACACCTTTGGGCTTATTTTCAGGGGATGTGTTATTTTTTTTTTAAGTATGCTACAACAATTTACATTGATTCAAATAGAATGAAGTTGTCTTCTTCTGGAACATCATCGTAACTCTCCAAACTTCAAATTCCATCCTGAATGTCTTGTGACTCTATTTCCTTTAGAACCATTGGCCCCCATCTCTCGTGTCGAGCACTAGAGCTGTCACGGGGCAGATGAGAAGGGCTGCTCGTGTTCTTTCCCGCTCCACGACGACACGCACGGGTTGTGCAGATGCTGCGCAGCCACGCCCATCGCTAGGGCTGATTTTCGGGGTGGGGCTTCTATTGCGTACATGCTTAGACATTCTACCAGGGCTTATTTCATGGGTAGGGTTTATTTTTGGTGGAAACACGGTACAATGGTGCATAATAGACACATTTCTGGGTAGAGACGAGTGAAGAGGTAGTCACAATGGCGAAGGACACATGGGACGCTCCTAACACAGGCTGGGGCGGGGTGGGATGGCCACACAGATGCCTTCTTCCAAGAAATATTAACATCTAAGCTGAGACCCAAAGGCTGAATAGGAGTCAATCGGCCAGCGTGCAGGGCAGTAGCGACCAGAGCTCTAGAAGCGGAAAGGGCCTTCCCAATGTCTCATAAACAGGAAAATTCTTAAGAGAACTGGAAGCAGCTCACGATGGCTTGGCGTGCAAGGCTGTGCTGCAGAATGAACTGTTCGTGTTTCCCCAGCGTGTCCTGCTCCTTTAATCCCTCTGTCCCCGTCTCCCAGGAGACGGGGGTTCTACTCGTCATCGGTGAGGGTCTCTCAGCCATCCCTTCACGCCTGTACGGGCGTCTTCCCCAACCACATCTGTAAAGGGACACTCCCACGGCACCTCCGCCGGCGCACACTCACAGCGTTTCTCGTGCTGAATAGTCACACACTGCCTGCGCTCTGTGCGCTTGGCGGAGAGGAAGTTAAGAGTCCTCCTCTTTCGTTTCCTGACCCCTGGCACAGAGCAAGCACCGGTAGATACACTGACTTGGGCGGGAAAGGAGCAGAGACAGGGAAAACGCTGGCTTCCATTCTTGCCTCCCAGCTGCAGACGCGAGTCTGGGTCGTAAGATACAGGCGATCTTCTCCGGGCCTGCCTTGAGGAATGAAATTCATTCGAAGCCTCCCAGTGAAAACACGAGTGACTCGTGGGATCTTTTATCTCCTCCAGTGGCACAACCTTATTTGTTTTTTTAAAAAAAAAAGGGCCTGCACAGACCATGTAGCCTTCTGGGAAGAATAATTAATGACACTGGGGTAGAGAGAGAGAGAGAATGGAAAGAAATGCAAATATTTGATCCTTTTTTTGGAATGAGAGGACAGAGTTCTTTTTTAATGTGCAAAGCAGATTTTAGGAAATCCTTGGAGACCTGGCCCCACCGGAAAAAGGAACACAAAGCAGGGTACTGGCAGAGGAGTGCCTTTTCTTTACACAGTGTCTTCGTTTAGAAATAACTTTTCTTCTCAAATTAAAGGGGAACACACGATAATCAGTAAGCTTCGTTAGATCAGAGGGTGCCAACAGACACCCTTCCCCTAAAGGTGCATAAATTTAGGAAGGCAAGAGAAAGAGTGTGGACAAAAGCTACCCAGGAAGGTGACATGATGCTGGTGCTTAAGAGAGAGGGGCCTCTAGAAGGTTCTGGAGGAAAAACTGCCTAGTAAGTTACCTTGCTAAGGAAGTAATGGACAGATTACACACAGGGCAAGTATCTCTCAGAAGTTGCTGCCCACTTACACAAACTTGCATGTGCTTCCTATATACTTCACTTCTTATTAACAGTAATACTTTCCTCTTAGAAACCTCCCATGGCATGAATGAAAAACAACAACAAAAGGAATGCATGCTAATTGTGATACTATGAAAGTAACATAACCTCTTCCAAAGAGGAAGATCAACCAAAAGAGCAGACCAGGTACCATGTTTCCCTGAAAACCAGACAGGGTTTTATATTTATTTTTCCTCAAGAAGACACCCTAGGGCTTGTTTTCAGGGGATGTGTACTTTTTTTAAGTACGGTGCAACCATCTGCATTGATTCAAACATAGTGAAGTCATCTTCTTCTGGAACATCACTCTATAAACCCCAAATTCCATCCTGAATGTGTTGTGACTCTATTTCCTTTAGAACCACGGACCCCGATCTCTCCTGTGGAGCACTAGAGCTGTCACGGGGCGGAGGAGAAGGGCTGCTCGTGTTCTTTCCCGCTCCGCGACGACACGCACGGGTTGTGCAGATGCTGCGCAGCCACGCCCGTCACTAGGGCTGATTTTCGGGGTGGGGCTTCTACTGTGCACATGCTTAGAAATCCTGCTGGGGCTTGTTTTATGGGTGGGTCCTATTTTCGGGGAAACGCGGTATGTGCTTCACTGGCATTTGACGGCTACAAGTTTGAAACGAACTTGCACACATTTTGTGAAAATGCCAAACCCTCGGAGAGACTCATGCATCCGTCACTCAACTCAGCACCAGCCACTCTCCTAGCAGAGCAAGCAGGTGGCAGAGGCCGTACCTTCCACAGTGGCTCTCTTGGGCTGAATGGTGATGGCTCCTTCTGCGATGTCTTCGTGCTGGTGCAGGGGGTTTATCTTGGACCCCCAGCTGTCGGACCCCACCCAGAGAAAGTGGCCCACCTGGTCCGCTCTTTTGGCTGCCGCCAGGATCTGCCTGTCAAGAGGAACACGAAAAGGTGCATTGACGATCACGAACAGCAACTGAACATGTGCACACTGGCAGTCAATCAAAAGGAAAGCAAGCCATGCCTCCCCCAAAAGTAAATAACCAATTGCAAAAAAAAAAAATAGTTAAACAATTTATATTACTGATATACAAAGAGATGTTGTAGATAAGGAAAACAGTCCAAGCATCTTGAGGGAAATAGACAAAAAAGCATTCAAAGTTGGCAATATACAGGAGAAATATAAATGCTTAATAAACCGGAGAGACACATTTACCTCCGTTAAAAAGGAGAATGTAAATTGGAACAAGCTATCAAATTCACTGATCACGTTGGCCCAACTGTTTGTTTTGTTGTATGAGTTTTGGCTGGACAAACGAGCACTCTCATTCACTGCTGGGGGTATATATCCTTTCTGGAAGCCCATATATTTACAAACCAAAGGTCTTAAATTATTTATTAGAATAAATGGAACTCTATGCTACACATGAAAAATTTACAACCCATGTTTATGAATGGAAATAGTATATACATTACAAGGGTAACAAGGACAAATAAAAGGGAAAAAAAGGATATTTTTATTATTAATGGAATAAAATTAATGATAATAGTTAATATCTCCATTTATTTTCCATGGAAAAGTTAGGGCAATAGTGCTTTTGGAAGAAGAGGGAATGGACGAGAGGTAACTGCATTTACAGCTCAGGAAAAGCCAGGACCAAAGCTCCTTTGATGGGTAAGACCATGGGAGAAGGGGTCTGCCCACCTCTCAGGACTTGGACGTACCAGGAACCCCACAGAGACACAGGGCTAAAAGCAGGAGGATTGGTTGAGGGACTCTATAAAATAGCAAAAGTCCAACTGTCCTTTCTCTTCCAGTTCTGGGAAGGAAATGGAATGGCCATTTCCGAATAATAAAGTCTTAATACTGTGAACACCCAAGTGGTGAAGGACAGTGCGTCAAACATGCGGGTGAGGCCGGGCGCAGTGGCTCAGGCCTGTAATCCTAGCACTCTGGGAGGCCGAGGTGGGAGGATCACTCAAGGTCAGGAGTTCGAAACCAGCCTGAGCAAGAGCAAGATCCCGTCTCTACTATAAATAGAAAGAAATTAATTGGTCAACAAAAATATATAGAAAAAACTAACCGGGCATGGTGGCACATGCCTGTAGTCCCAGCTCCTCGAGAGGCTGAGGCAGGAGGATCGCCTGAGCCCTAGAGTCTGAGGTTGCTGTGAGCAAGGCTGACGCCATGGCACTCACTCTAGCCCAGGCAACAGAGTGAGACTCTGTCTCAAAAAACAAACAAACAAACAAAAAACCTGTGGGTGGCACAGGAAGGAAATGACTAGAAGTCAGTGTATTAGGTATTGAGATGGAAAGACAGTTTAGGAAACTTGAACTTGTGCTCACAGAATGCTGGGAACCAGGGGTATAATGCCCCACGCCGAAAACAGCTTTTCTGGAAAAATATGAACCATCCCAGAAAATAGACCCTGGGTATTGACCTAGAGAGATCCTTTAAGGGAAGGGCTGAACTGATCCCCACTCAAGTCCCTGTTCACAGGGCTTCCTAGGGTCTTATGCAAATGTGAACTGTCAGAAGTCACCCATCATTGGGGAAAATCTCCACTGCAAAATGGAAAAATCAACTAGAAAAAGAAAACTGGTGTGGCGTGTGGAAGAGATACCATGGGAAAAAGAACAAAATAGGAATAACACGTTGAAATGAGAATTACCATGTCTATAATCAAGGACAAGATAATAAGAAAAATGTACCCAAGAAGGAATAGCCCTTCGTTATTAAAAATGTGAAATTAAATTTACTTCAGTGCAGATATAGGAGGAAGTGAAAAAAATGCTCCAGAATGCAAAACAATAGCAAAAAGTTAGAAAATAAGCAAGACATGCTGAGTCATTTTTTTCTCTTATTAAGAATCGATTGGATGCTTGAAGCTCTGACTCGGGGGGGGGGGAGGGGAGGGGTGGGAGACAACACATGTAACCTAAATATTTGTACCCCCATAATATGCTGAAATAAAAAGAAAAAAAGAAAAAAAAGAATCGGTCAGGGAAGACCGGTAGCCAGTTAACATTTGCAGAACAAATGTAAAAAGAAAGTGAAATTAATTTTAGTAAATAATATTTTCTAATAAAGAAAACTTTTTAAAAAACAAAAGTATAAGTTTCCAAATTTAAAAGTTCAACTAGCATAATGATGGAGGGGGGAGGATATTTTAAGCACGTCACACACAAGACGTAAGATCTCTGGAAATAATGAGAATGTTCTAAAAGTTCTTTGAGAGAAAAACAGAAAACATACAGGAAAATAAGCAGCAGAATATCATCAACCTCCCAGGAGCAAAAATAAATAAATAAATAAAGATGATGAGGAGGCAATGACTTCCAAATTTTGAAGGAAAGATGATTTTTTTAACGTAAAAAATTTTAATACCTGACAACACAAAGAATCCCCATGGAAACAGAATTTGCATATTTGGCCGGTAGATCTTATAGATCTTTCCCACCAATATTAGAACATGAAACTCCCTACGAGCTAAGAATCCTATAACTCATTAGTCACCAAAGCTATTTGCTGTAAATTTATGTGCCGGAAATATGTGTTTAAAAATAAATATGAAGCCACATCTTACCATCCCAATTATTAATGAAGGATAGAGGCAGAATAAGGGCATTTCTAGGGGCTAGGTGCAGTGGGTCACACCTGTAATCCTAGTGCTTTGGGAGGCCAAGGCAAGAGGATCATGCAAGACCAGGAGTTCCAGGCCAGCCGGGGCAATACAGTGAGACCCTGTCTCTAAATATCTAAAGAACCAGCTGGGCATGGCGGCATGTGCCTAAGCCCCGCACTTGGGAGGCGGAGACAGCAGGGTCACTGCTGCCCGAGGTCCCGGGGGCCGCAGTGAGCCGCAACCTCGCCACTGCGCCCCAGCCTGGGCAACAGAGCAGAGTCCTGTCTCTTAAAAAAAAATCATAGGCATTAAACACAAAAGTTTTATTTTGTTTATTCTTTTTTTTATTTTTGCATTTTTTGTTTTTCTGTTTTTAAGACAGATCCTTGCTCTATTGCCCAGGCTGGAGAGTAATAGCATCATCATAGCTCACTGTAACCTCCAACTCCTGGGCTCAAGCGATCCTCCTGCCTCAGCCTCCCGAGTAACTGTGACTACAGGTGTGCGCTACCATGCCCGGCTAGTTTTTCTTTCCTTTTGTAGACACAGAGTCTCACTATATTGCTCAGGCTGGTCTTAAACTGCTGGCCTCAGGCGATCCTCTCTCCTCGGCCTCCCAAATTGTTAAGGATTACAATTGTGATCCATCGCACCCTGCCTAATTTACTCTTTTTAAAAAAGTTATTACAAGATATACTCCAGGAAAATAAAGAAATAAACCAAGAATAAAAATCACATAGGATCCAGCAAAAAGGAAAGTAGAGAGAGAAGGAGGGAGGGAGGAAGAGAGGGAGGTAAAAACTCCTAATATGGTAGTGACTGACCCACATTAAAACATAACAATGGAGATTTCAGGAAAGAAATGTTCATGAACAATAATGGAACTCAGATTATTTTGTACATGAACATATGGGAAAAAGTGATAGACCTGTAACATCAATAGGAAAAAATACTAAAGGTAACTACGCAAGTAAAAACACTGTCATATTAACTCCAAAGAAAACCAAAAAGTTTTCCAAAAAATAAATCATGTTATAGAAAAAAATATCTGATACTGTAGTGCAAGATATTTACATAATCATAACAATGTAAACAGCAATTATTATTAAATGAAAACCTAAAATAACAATGTTAATGGGATAGGGAAGACATCAGTGACCTAAATTCTACCTAAGTAGTAGTAGATAATATAAAATTAATAATTTCAAAACTAAAATATATGCACATTATGCAGATAACACTAGAAGAAATAGTAAAAGAATTAAAATAGCTGCCCAAAGAGAACAGAACCAGAGTGTATGGAGGGATAGGTCAGGTGACTAATACTCTGCATCTAAACTGTTTCCATCTTGTTTTGCTTTTTTAAAAAATACATATACTTATTTTCACAAAAATTAGCACAAATATTTATACTCTTAGCCTATAGAGTATAGGTAACGTCTACTAACCCAACCAAAGGAAATGACCAAAAGTGCTATAAAAAAATGTTTATTCACCACTGGAAACAACCTGAATACAATACAACAGGAGAGTGGTTTTTAAAATGACAACACACCCAAAGGATGAAAATATATTTAGCAATTAAAAATACATTTAGATTTCCACAAGGCAATTTTTAAAAATGTAAAGTCAAATTTTAAGAAGAGATTATTCAATTATTCTACAATAAAAACTGGCCAAAAACTGCATGTATATGTGCATATATGCATAAACGTATAGGATGATATTACAGGACAGAAAATGTGGAATAACATACAATTTGTTATTAACTAGGTTGGGGAGAGGCTGATGAAGTTTGAAGAGGATGAAAAAGGTACGAAGAAGCCAAGTAAAACAGGAGGAGAAAGACAAAACTGATAGAAATACAAAAAAAAAGTATGGTTAATTTAATATATTTATGTAAAAGTTTTGGTTTATTTATTAAGATCAGTATGACTAACCATTTAAAATTACTTATGGTATGACAAGGATTAATCTATAACTTGAATTGCAAGAATAAAGGACATATAATATTCTATGTGATCTTGATTCTGTTGGGGAAACTTGTAAAATATGAATTATTGCAAACATTAAACCAGAATTTTATTAGTGGTTATCTCTGAGTGTTAGAATCGCAGGCTTTATAGGAGATTTGTTTTTAAATTATTGTTTGTGATTATTCTCTTTAACCTTTAATTTTTTCTAGAAAATTGGGGGCAAAGTAAAATTTAAGGATTCCTTTTATGAAAGAACAACAATAAAAAAAGCATTTTTCTTTATTTCCCAAGGGATTTACAACGAGTATATTCCTTTTATAATCAGAATAAAGTATTTCAGAAAAAGAATCTGTTCCTGCCTAAAATCTAAATTATCGATACCCATGACTGATTTAGCACTTATCTTAGCTTCCAAATCTAGATGATAATGTCTTCCCACTACAATTCTCTGACAAAGTATTTGAAGTTAATGTTTCAAGAAACCACAAAATTTCTCATCTACAGTATAAATCTTCTGAAGAAAGAAATAACACTGTGGGTTATCAGTATACTTCAGACATCAGTGTGTTTAAGATCATGTTTTGGAAGAAATATACACATTTGGCTTTTATTACTGTGCTTAAGAACTATTATTGGCATCGCTACCATGAATGGAAATATACAATAATATTAAACACACAAATAAAACCCAATGCAAAAAGAATGAGCATTAATTATTGAGTGGATTAGTTATATTTTACATCCAAAATTAAAAATTCACACTACCTGCAGGTCAGGAGTATTATAACTGATCTGTCACCAAAGCTGTTTGCAGTTAATCCTTTTTGAGACTTGTACAACCTATTTACAACTAAACATGAAGCTGTATCTTATCAATGCATTACACATTTAGCAAATGTGTAAAAAAGGTATAAAAAGGATTTATGAGATGATTAAGAAGGGCATTGGTACAGTTTTGTTTTTTTTTTTAAAAAAAAGAAACACTGGAGCAGAAAGATAATAGTAATATTAAGAAAAAAAATTCCATAACTAACTAAAACAACAAAGCAGAAAAGAAAATGTCCTCCCTAAGAGAATTTTGTAAGGAGAGAAATTACACATTTAAAGGATGATCAGAATCAGTTCCCCGGAGAAGAGCACGTTTGAAAAAGACCTTGAATGACAGACACAAGCTCAACAGGAAGAGAAAGAGAAAGACCATGTGGCACAGGTATACCATGGAGCACTATTCTGCTATAAGAAACAACGGTGATCTAGCACCTCTTGTATTTTCCTGGATATAGCTGGAACCCATTCTACTAAGTGAAGCATCCCGAGAATGGAAAAACAAGCACCACATGTACTCACCAGCAAATTGGTATGAACTGATCAACGCCTAAGTGGACATATAGTAAGAGTATTTATCGGGTGTCAGGCAGGTGGGGGGAGGGGTATATACATGCATAATGAGTGTGATGTGCACCAACTAGGGGATGGACATGCTAGCAGCTCTGACTCGAGTGGGGGGCAAGGGCAATGCGCGTAACCTTAACATCTGTAACCCCCGTAACATGCTGAAACACACACACACAAAAAAGAGCAAAGGCCACAGTGGAGGAGAAAGTAGAACACGTCGGAAGGTGAGAGCCATGCATTTTAGGTGCAGAACTGGGTGCATGCTGGTGAGGTCTAAAATGTTAAGGCGAGGAGGCATTTTGAAGCAACGTGAAGTTCAGAAAGAGAAGCTTGTTTTTACATCGTTAAACATGGGGCATTCGACTGTCATGTCGTGCATTCATTCAGTGCCATTTACTGAGTATCTACTATGTCCTGGGCATTGAGATGGTTTATTGAGGACACAAAAAGCAAGGCAAAGGGAGCACCATTCCTGCCTGAAGGATGCTTACAGCCCGGCGAAGGGTCCGCACACTCACTAAACCATCCGGCAACGTAAAAGGATGCCACGGACACAAACCACGGATCGAGCCATCGGGGGAGTTTTCCGAAGCTGCCTTGCTCAGAGAGACCCTGCCTGAGACAGCGGCACTAGACGCTGCTTCGGGATGAAGAAGTGAAAGCACTGTTGCTTTTGCAAAATGCATTTGTGAGGAAATACAGACAGCCCCTCGTACCTGAGTAGACAAAAAAACAGGGCACTTAGAACGAAATAAAACTAGAAAGGTGAGACAAGGCCAGATCACCCTAAAAAAGAGCTCCAAATGGTTTTCATTTTATTGATGGAAGAATTGAGGCCCAAAGAAGCCAGCAAGCAGCAGAGGGAATTTGCCCAGCGTGAGACAGTGTTTATCATCTAAGTAGCAAAAAAAAAAAAAAAGTTCAAGTTCAAGCTTTGTACTAGGACAATAACAGACGTGGGAGCAGTGTGGAGGATACACTAAGGAGGGAAACATCACAGGATTGGGGGGCTGATGACAAGGACAGTGCAAAAATCCAAGCAAGAACTGATAATGACCTGGGCCCTTAAACTTTACATTAATAACATACACTCACCTTCAAAGTCAATGGCATATTATTGTTTTGAATTCTATGATGGAAAAAGATTTAAAACACACCCACAAATAGCTCTTTCCCATTAGAAGTGTAAATTGGCACAAATTCTCTAGGACATGATATTTATATATTTTTAAGAAGGGACACATCTTTGTCTAAGGAGTTTCCTTTCTAGGCATTTGTGAGTACTTACGAGATAAATATATGAAATCTGGTACTTGCATATTATTCTATCCCTGTATTACAGTACTAGTACATATTTATACATTGCATCCTACATTGTAGATTAACATTATATATTTGCATATTTATACGTGTACACAGATTTGTGGAAAAGGAAGTTTATTGCCGTGTTATTTATAATTATGATAGTCTGCAAACAAATTTAAATGTCCATTAATACATGAATTACAGTGCATGCGTAAAATAAAATTCCACGTGGCTATTAAAAAGACTGACTAGATGTATATAGGTCCTGATATTCAGTGACTTTTATGACAAAATGGTAAGTAAAGATAAGCCAAGTGCACAACAGGGGTACATCTAGGATGCGACCATTGGTACAAAAACAAGCGGCACATCCCTGTAACACACACAGACATCTCCAGTAATTACTCGTCACACCTGGAGGAGAACTTGCAAGCTAAGGGATGGGACATAGCTTTTTTTTTTTTTTTTTTTACCTTAATTGCTTTTAGAGGTTTATTTACTTATTTTTACTTTTTAATCAGGTATAATTACTGTTTGTTATAAAAGGATAACAAATAAAGATTGTAGACCACATTGGTCTACAATCAGAAAAGCAAGCAGGGGAACCTTTATGTTCTAAACCCATGTCTCAGGCTGGCTTTCTATAGCTTGGCCAAGCATGCCAAGGACTAGGAAAAAAGGAAAGGTCAAGATGACAAGCAGATCTTTAAATCCAAGGAGGATCAAGGTAAGGAAGGAAAAATGGGAAAAAAAAAAAATAGCTGGAGACAAGAGAATACAGGGGTATGACGAGTTTTGTTTTGAACATACTAAGTTTAAGGCACTAGCGACAAAGCCAGAATTGAAAGATACTTTCCTTTTTACATTAAGAGAACAATTCTTTGAATCAAAAGCTGTTCTATTTGGATATATTTTAATAAAACATCTTCAAAAACTGTAGCTTGCTTTTACTCTTTTTCCAAATGATTTAATACTACATTTATTTGCTAAGAGGGAAAACACGTGACGACAACAAGCCGCTACTGTCATGGCTCACTGTAACTAGTGGGGCAAGCACAGAGGAGCCACTGGGTAATTACAGACGCGATCCTATGCTATCATTCTCCCCCTTCTCTGCCAGCAGCCTGACCTTTCCGGCTCCTTAAAGTTGCAACGTGCACATTGAACAAATCCCACCAGTCATCCTTACTTTATATCCTCATCGTTGGCAAAAATCACGATGGCCCTGGAGTTGGGGGTGTCCAGGAGCTGTTTGATAATTCTATCAAAGTCAATGGTCCTGTCTCTGCGCTCCTGGGGGATTCTCACGGACTGGGCAATGCAGAGCCCACCTGTTTGAGAAAAGAAAGCAGAGTGTCAACAAAGTCCCCACAGAGGTACCCAAGGAGCCAGGGCAAGGGGTTGGGCGGGGTAGGGAATTTTGAAGGCTGAGTGCACCCCGCTTCCTGGAAGCAGTGCAGAGTGGGTAGGGTATGACCCGTCATGGTCATGCCAAGCCACCTGCGCGGATGCTTGGACCTAGAACATGTCACCCAGTATGGCACAACTTCCTTCTCTTTATGGTGCCCTCGGGAATGTTTAGTGATGCTCAGGAACAGCAAAGATACTAACTTGGAGGAGGTGCCGTGTTTCCCTGAAAATAAGCCCTACCCATAAAACAAGACCCAGCAGGATGTCTAAGCACGTGCGCAATAGAAGCCCCACCCCGAAAATCAGCCCTAGTGACGGGCGTGGCTGTGCAGCATCTGCACAACCCGTGCGTGTCGCGGAGCGGGAAAGAACACGAGCAGCCCTTCTCATCCGCCCTGTGACAGCTCTAGTGCTCCACAGGAGAGATCGGGGCCAGTGGTTCTAAAGGAAATAGAACCAAAAAAAATTCAGGATGGAATTCGGGGTTTGGAGAGTGATGATGATGTTCCAGAAGACAACGACTTAACTGTATTGGAATAAATGTAGATTGTTGTACTGTTCTTTAAAAAAATAACACATCCCCTGCAAATAAGCCCTAGGGTGTCTACTTGAGGAAAAATAAATATAAGACCCTATCTTATTTTTGGGGAAACACGGTAGGTTTAGGTTGGCAGACAAAGACGGTGTGTTGAAAGGGGTCTTTAACACGAATGCAACATGCTACACTAACCCTGCAATAAGTAAACTACAATAAAGAAACTGGACCAAGAAAAGCTCATGTTTACTCTCTGTGACTTTTCTGGGGTTTGTCTTCCCATATTTTTTTCATTTTTCTCTCCTTTCATACCCATCTTTACTTTTAACGCTCTGCTCCAGTGGGGTGAAATAAAAATGAAGAAAATGGCAACTATTACACATCAGAGTAACAAACTTACTAACCATACACTATGTGTTCAAGACATCGTTAAGTGTTTTATGGGTGTTATTTCATCTCATCCTCATTAAAACCTTATAAAGTACTTAGTGTTACCTATTTTCAATTGGGGAAAAGGAAGATTGAAGAGAAAAATAGATGTGTTTACTCCAGACTTCTCAAAGCCATCATGATATTAATTGACTTTATAAATTTCAAGACTGGGAGATACGCAGTTTACTAAGTAATGGGCCCGATGGGTTCTGACTTCCCCACTTCTTGCTCAGCAGTTGCTCCTGGATCTGGTATTTTGCAAAACACACTTAGAGAAAGGCCAGTACAGATGAAAGGGGTAGAGAGGATACTTGCAGGAAAGATCCCGAAAGTTACCCAAGGGTGGAAGACCTAGGAGAGGAGGAGACAAGTGGAAAACCTTGCCTTATTTGCAATGTGTTCGGGAGACACCTGTAATCAATAAGCTCACACTAGAACAGAGAGAACTGGGCGGATGCTACTAAGCTTCCACAAACAGAAAGATATAAACTGGAATCCAAAACTGAGCCTTCATTGCACTTTAATTCCAATTAGTGTCAGCTCTCTGTAAGTGGCTCTCCACCTTCAGTGTGCATGACTTTGCCTGGCCTCCTTCTCCAAATTACAGAGGTCTAACAAACACTACCCACCAACTTGACCTAACTGACATTTCTAGAACAATCCACACAACAACAGAAGAGCACGTGCTCTTCTCAAGTGCCAATGGGACATGTGTTGCGTGTTGCTGGACTGTTTTGGAAATATTTGGTCAAATGTGTGTTAATTTGGCTGTAATGGCATTTAAAGCAAACAAACAAACAAAAAAAGCTGTGAAAATGGCCTTGGAGCATTATCTTTAGTTACTTGAAGAGTTTCTAGTTTTTTTAAATACAGTTTATGTTAAAATAATTTTTATTAATTTAGAGAAGACAATCAATGTCTGTGAGAAAACGGACTTTCTTTTGGATTTTCTTTTTGTGGTCATTGTGAGTGATTGCTTTCTCCTTTCCTTAGTTTCACATTCTTCCTTTGTTCTAAAACTTAGACTGACATCTAGCTTTGACAATCATAGTATGTTTTATTTTCCTGAGGGGGGAATAACTTATAATGCTGTTTAGTTTTGTACTATTGGTGTGTTGGTGAATTTTTAAACTGTGTGCTAACTGCAATAAATTATATGAACTGAGAAAAAAAAAAAAAAAAAGAATATATTTGGGGCCATAAAACAATAACACATTTAAAAGCATAGAAATCATACAAAGTATGTTCTCAGACCATGTCAGAATGAAAGTAGAAATCAGTAACAGAAAGGTAACAGGAAAAGCTCCAAGCACTTGGAAATTAAACAACACACTGCAGAATAACCCCATGGGCACAGAGCAAGCGCCAGGGTAAATGTAAAAATAGTTTGAACTATTTTAAATGAAACTACAACATATCAAAATTTATAGGTTATAGCTAAAACAGGATTTAGATGAAAACCACAGTGTTATAGGCTTATATTAAAAAAGAAGAAACATCTAAAAAAGAAGAAACCCAAACTTTCACTTTAAGTGAGAGAAAAATGCAGAACAGATACCCCCAAAAAGGAGAAAGAACACAGTAAAAGTTAAAGCAAAATTTCAATGAATTTGAAAACAGAAAAATAATAGAGAAAAACAATGAGATCAAAAGCTGCTTTTTTTTAGCTGGACATGAGAGTGTAGCCCTGTAGTCCAGCTACGCAGGAGGCTGAGATAAGTGGATCACTTGAGCCCTGGAGTTTGAGATCAGCCTGGGCAACATAGTGAGACCCCCATCTCCTCAAAAAGCTGTTTTGAAAAGAAAAAAGCAGATAAAAGATAAAACTGATAAATCTGCAAAGCAGAGTAAGACAAAAAGGGAGAAATAGTGAATGAGCCTATTCAGGAATGAAAGAAGGCTAACACTAATCTCATGGACATTAAAAGATAGTAAGGATATTATGAACAACTTCATGCAAATAAATTCAGCCACCTAAATGAAATGGAAGAATTCCTTAAAAGATACAGAGTATCAAAATAGAATGAAGAATAGATTATCTGAATAGTCCTATATAAATTAAAAACACCAAATTCACATTTTGAAAACTTCCAGAAAAAAAAAAAAAAGATAACAGGCTCACAAGGTTTTAGTGATGATTTCCACCAAGCAGTGATGGAAGAAATAAAACATAATCTACATAATCTTTCAGAAAACAGAAGAAAGGAGAAGTTAGCTCAGGAGATGAATATTACCTGTTACTCAAACAAGACAAAGATGTCACAAAATATCAAAATGACACCCGCACCCAAATGTTTACTGCAGCATAATTCACAATTGCAAATATATGGAATCAATCTAAGTGCCCATCAGTTGATGAGCGGATAAAGAACATGTGAGATAGATGCATAGATGCCATGGAGTACTACTACTCAGTCATAAAAAGGAATAAAGTAATGTCATTTGCAGCAACGTGGATAGAACTGGAGAACATTATCCTAAGTGAAGTATCTCAGGAATGGAAACACAAACGCCACATGTTCCCACCAATAAGGTGGAGCTAAATGATGGGTACACATATGCATAGGGTGATGTAAAGGCCATTGGAGACTAAGGGGGGGAGGTGGGGAGAAGGGTTAGGGATTAAAAACTTACTACCTACCTGGGTGCAATGTACACTATCCTGGAGATGGGCACATAAATGCCTGACTTTAGCATTATGCCATTCATCCATTTAACAAGAATACTTGTACCCTCCTAATATTTTGAAATAAAATATTATTTTAAAAATCTGCAATTGGCACTCAAAACTATAAAAAAATAATAAGAAGGAAGAAGGAATGGGGAGGAATTAGTCTATATGACTCTGAGATTTATTACACAGCCAACAATAATCAAGACTGTGAGGTATTAGTGGAAAGATAGACACACAGATGAATGGAACAGAACAGAGAACCCAGAAATAAACCCCCACACAAAGATGCCCAAATGATTTCTGACCAAGGAGTAAAGGAATTCAAAGGAGAAAAATATATCCTTTCCAAAAAATGAGGCTAGAGTAACTGGACATCTCTAAGCGAAAATGTAAATGTCAATTTAAGTCTCATACTTTATACGAAAATTAACTCAAAAGGAATTATAGACAAATATAAAACTCTTAGAAAAAATGCAAGTGACTCTTTCAGGTTTAGAGTTAGATAAAGAGTTCTTAGACTTGATACCAAAAGCTCGATCAAGAAAAGAAAAATTGATATGTGAGATTTCATCAAAATTTTAAAAACTCTTGCTTAGCAAAAGACCTTGTTAGGAGGAAGGAAAGACAAGCTGAAGAGCGGGAGAAAACACTTGCGAACCTCACATACAACAAAGGAATATTATCTAGATTATATAAAGAGTTCTCAATAACAAAAACTCAATAAAAAATTCAATCAGAAAATGAGTAAAGGACATAAAAAGGAAATTGCACTGAAAAGGATATGTGGATATCAATAAAAAGATTCTCAAAAGCATTATTCATTAAGAGATGCAAATTAAAACCACAATGAAACATCACTAAGTACCTACCAGAATAGTTGAAATAAAAAGTAGTGACAATACCAAACGCTGGCAGAGATGTAGAGAAACCAGATCACTCATACATTGCTGGTGGGAATGTGAAATGGTACAGCTACTCTAAGAAACAGTTGGGCAGTTCTTTAAAAATTAAACACGCAACTATCATGAAGCCCAGGAATTAACTTCTGGATTTTTTTTTTTTTTGAGATGGGGTCTCACTATGTTACCCAGGTCAGCCTCGGATTGCTGGGCTCAGTCTTTTAAGTAACTGGGACTACAGGCATGTGTCACCCTGCCAGCTCTCCTGGATATTTATCTCAGAGAAATGAAGATTTATGTTCATACAAAAACTTGTACATGACTGTTCACAGTAGCATTATTCATAATAGCCCCAAATTAAAAGCAACCTAGACATCCTAG